CAGCGGCGAAGCGCCCTGGCTCGCCTATAGCCCCACCAAACAATGTTCGAAGAAACTCTTGTGGTTCCCAGGAAATATTCTTAGAACACTTCTGGCGGAGCCTGTCTTGTTTTATCTTGTTTAACAAATCGGGGATTTGTTCTAAGAACCCTTCTTCTCGTTCTTAGGGCACTCTTGGGTTCTAAGAACATTTCGTGGTAGGACTATAGGAATGCCGGGACGGTCGGTCCCTGCTCAATAATTTCAGAACGTGCAGAAACCATCTGCAGGATAGGTGTTGCGAGCATGCGGTAGAGGGGGTGACATCGATGAGGAATATGACGGTGATGGTGGTGGTGGATAGGATGGTGATGTTGATGTTGGTTCTGACGTTGGTGGTGGTGACGATGGTGGTGATGGTGTGGTTGATCATGATGATGCGGATGATAGGAATGCTGAGGCCGATGCCGAGTATGACTATGTTGTTGGTAGCGGTGATGATGATGTTGATGATGCCTGTTATGATGGTGGTGACGACGGCGAGGAGTATGGACGTGATGATTATGTTGATGCTGGTGATGGGGTTAACGATGATGGTTGTGATGCTGATGCTGATGAATGAATGTGGTGGTAATGGTGATGTGGGTGTTGATGGTGATGATGATGGTGTCAATGATGTTGATGACGGTGAGGGGGGTGACACTGATGATTTTGATAAGCCATTGTGGTGCTGATAGTTGTGATGATGATAGTGATGGTGCCGCTGCTCATGATGATGGTGTTGATGAAGACGATGCTGCATATGATGCTGATGACGGTGGTGATGATGATGATGATGGGGTCATGTTGTTCATGATTATGTAGATTCCCATGGTCATTCTGACGATGACGAAGAAGAAGATGATGATGATGATGCTCCTGACAATGAGGATTGTTGTGCTACTGGTGTGGATGATGGTGATGGTGGGTGGCAAAGCTGAATGTTACTGGTGATGCTGATGATGCTGATGGTGGTAATCACGATTATGTTGATGCTGATTTTGATGTTGATGATGCTGCTGATGACGATGATGATGGTGACGATGATGATAATGATGGTGGGGGTGGTGACAGTGATGCGGATGATGGTGATTGGGGTGGCGATGATGACTATGATGATGCTGATGATGATGATGGTGATAATGATTATGCTGATGATGCTGATCATGATGAGTGTGGTATCGATGCCGGTGCCGATGCTGATCTCGGCGTTGCTGATGATGATGACGATGATTTTGGTGGCTGCGACGATGATGTGGGGGTGATGAAGATGAATTCGATGATGGAGATGATGGTGGTGGTAATGCTGATGCGGATGATGATGGTCCTGCTGGTGTTAATGCTGATGAGGCTGATGTTGATGCTTATTGTGGTGATGATGGATATGAGGACGATGGTGGTGTGGCGATAATGATGGTGATGGCTATGATGATGATGATGATGATGATGATGATGGTGGTGGTGGTGGTGATGATGATGATGGTGATGCTAATGCGCATGTTGGTTATGATGGCGACGATGGTGATGATGTTGATGATGGTGAGGATGATGGTGATGCGGGGTGACAATGGTGATTATGATAGTGTGGATGGTGCTGATGGTATGGTGATCATGATCATGATATTTGTCAGTTTGATGCTGGTGATTATGATGATGATGGTGCCGCTGACGATGATGAGGTGGATGCTGTTGATGATGTGGAGGATGGGGAGGGGGCGACGATGATGATTATGATGATGGTGGTGGTGATGTTCATTAGGATGCTGATGCTGATGACGGTGTTGATGAGGATGATGCTGATGATGATGATGGTGTAGTTGATGATGATGTTAATGATGCTGTGGGTGCTGGTGATGGGAATGGCGATCATGAGTATGATGATGCTGATGGCAATGGTGATAATGCAGATGCGAGTGCTGGCTTCGATGCTGAGATTGTTGCTAATTGTGATGAGTGTGCGAATGATGATGGTCATGTAGATGATGGTGATTAGTGTGACCATGATAACTATGATGATGCTGTCGATGATGGTTGTGGTGATGCTGACACAGACGCTGATGCTGATTATTGTAAAGGTGATGATGGTGACGCTGATGATGATAATGATGATGATGATGATGATGATGATGATGATGAAAATCACGATGCTGATGGTGTGAATGCTGATTATGTTAATGATAGTGTGGATGATGGTGATGGGGGTGACAATGCTGCTGCTGATGATAATGCTGGTAATGGTAGTGGTGATGATGCTGATCCGGATGCTGACGCTCATGATGTTGATGATGATGATGATGTTCACGATGCTGATGATGATGACGATGGTGTGAACGATGACAATGTTTCGGATGATGGTGATGGGGGCGACGATGACGATGCTGATGCTGATGCTGACGATGATGCTATTGCTGATGATGTTTGTGATGCTGATGATGCTGATGATGATGATGATGTTGACGATACTGTTGATGTGGATGATAGTGATGGGGGTGCTCACGATAATACGACTGATGTTGATGCTGAT